TTTGACGTTCAGCTTTAATCTTTTGCAGATGTAGAAATTTAAACATGCGAGTAATGTAAAAGGTGTGATAACAAAACATTATAAACGAAGTAACAGGTAAAAAAAAAATTTGTCGGCTGTTAGATCTAAAACAATATTAAAAATCGAACTACTTAGAAAATAAAAATACCTTTGTAACCTGTAAAATACTCGATATTCATTTCTACTATTTCTACTATATAAATTTATATGTGAAATTGACGTGTTGTTTGTTATTGTAAACATTTTTTACAGCATAGTGGAAATTTGAAATGTTACACTAATTTTTTATATTGTGCAACGTAGCTTTACAATAAACGGCAAACATTCTGGCAATAAAAAGTAAGTGATAAAATGGATTTGAATTGGATCTGAACTTGATCTCCAATTTAGAGAAGTTTCAGGAGCAACGAGTTCTGTATGACATTTCGCGTAGCAACAAACTTCCGCTATGCTATTTTTTACCAGGTCCGTGTTACGCAATCGATTTTAATGCACAGGTCACGAGGATCACAGTCCAGAAAAGTCTTGGTCAATTTTCTCTTTTGTAAATAAAAATTCTTCCCAAAAGTTGTTTTTTTTTTTTACTCAATGACTTTGAAAAAAATCTATCTAATGATCCGATATTAGAATAAAAAAAAAAATTTAATGGTCACAATGCCAGTTTCCAATTGCAGAATGCCTTTACATTGACACTTTGAAAATTGACAGAGATGTTGAGATGTTATAAATGAGTACAAGAGGTTAAAATCAAAAAGCAAAAAGGGATTAAAAAAATTGAGTCAATGATAATTTTTTCCTTTGAAAAAGCAAAAACATAACTGTAATGAGCAGTGGCATCAATACTGCAATATTGTGTTTTATCCTTTGAATAATTTTGATTAACTAATTTTCTTTGTTCTTTAGCCAATGAGAATTGTTATTCGCACCTCCATTTTTGTCATTCGCACCCCTCCCGTGACTAAGACAAAGATGAACCAATAAAATCATCACATTTTAAAGCCATTCATTGGTCACATTACTACACTTAGTCACGGGAGGGGTGCGAATAACAAAAATGGGGGTACGAATAACAATTCCCTATTTTTATTATAATAATTTTTTTCTAATTTGGCCTTGGACAGATGTTATTTAAATCCTTTGAGTAATTCTTCAGCTTCTTCTTCTTGGCGAGCATTGTAATGTAAACCATTTTGAAAATGTTGGCAAGCATCACACAAGTCAGTTCTTGGACTCATAATTTGAATCTCTGGTGCAGTTGATGTCTTAATTTTCTGAAGGCATTATATTTCAAAGATTTCAATTTGCTATCTTCTTCTATATCAGCCAGAAAATACCTGTGCGCAGATTTATGGCTCATTTCAGATGGTAAGAATGTAACTTATTGAGTTATTCTATTGTTACTTCTCCCTGGGCTTGGCAAACCATGAACTTTAACATAATTTTTCAGAAATTCTTTACTATTTCTGCAACATTTTTGTCAATCACCATTTTAGTTTTACATTGAGGCATCTTTTTAATATTACCATGAACTCTTGTTAAAAGACCATGGTTTATCAGATGATTTCTGATAATTTAAAATAAGTTCTACCAATCCCTAACATATTAAAATAAGTTCCTTGGCAAAGGAGTGTAGTGAAAAAGGACAGGGGACGGATTTCTGCGCCTTCACCACGCCACACCTGTTACCATCCTTTTCTAGTATTAATGGGCCTTGAAAAGGACGGTGTGTTGAACCCATCCCCAGTATCCCAAGAGAAATTGGGAAAATTTGGTCAACCTCCCCATGAAAAATAATTATGACCTAGCTTATCATCATTAATAATCAAAATGAGAAAAGACAATTTAAAAAGCAAACAATAAATGAAATAATAACAAGTTAATAAAAAATTGACTACCTTTACCAATGAATTTTTCCATACATTGTTGATCATAAACAGAAAATGTTATTATTGCTTTAACAAATCATGTGTATTGATTTATATTTTTTATAAATGTAAAAATTTACTTAATTTCTTCTGAATAGATTATAACAAGAAGATTAATTATATTTTTATTATTTATATATTATTATATTATTATGTATTTTTAACATAAAAAGGATTATCCTCTAAGAAGTTTTACAGGCTTTCTATTTTAGTCCTTGTTAAGTCATACACCCAAGGTTGCCAATTTATGTGTTCATAATTTACCCGAGACAAGTACTGATAATAGAAACATTAGCCTTATGTACCAACTTTTAAAATATGAGATACAGCTCACCACATTTTGTTGGATAAATTCTATTTCATAATTTTTTTGTGTAATCCAATAAATAGTAAAAGTAGAATTGATGATTAAAGAAATAATTAAAGTACCTGCTCAAAAATACTTATATAATTTATCTTGTTGAAAAGTAACTCTATTTTTCAAAATAATCAATTTTTGAAACTTAAAAAAATTAATTTGATATAATGATTACATTAAGGTAAAATAACAATTTGTAAAATGTTACCTACAAGAACAAAAAAAGTTGTGACTTTAAATTAATACAAAAGAATTTTAAATTGCGTACAAACCTATCCCCGTCAATAAGATTACAAAAGTGCACCAATGTATTTAAACATTGCTTGATTAACCTTGAAGCATGTAATGGCGTGATTGGTCCAGCCTTGGATTCCATGCAATTTTTTTATTGTATATTTTAATCATTTCCTTGTATGTAAATGACTCTATATACTAATATTCATGATGGTCATGATTGTTATTCAATACATTTGATATCATAATTGGCATAACAAACAATTGCATCACCCAGGTGGTAATAACATCAAGGCCATGCAGAAATGAAACTTTTAACAATGTGTGTCTACCCAGATCTCTGGGATTCACAAAATAAATTATTTTTCCTGATTATCAAATTATGGTTTCTTATGGATAATAAATCTGATGTTAATTGCAGGAGTCAGATTTAATTAAAGTTTCCTATAACAAACTTTGCACAACGGGCGTTTACACACCGCCCCATTCCTATGAAATTTTTTCCACAGGTGAGACACTTGCAATTTTGAAGCCTTTGGACAAAACTTTCCCTATCTTCTCCTCAGACCAGGCTGGATGTTGTCATATGAGCATTGATGATTGGCATTTGTGTGACGATTGCTTTGAGTCCCTGGTTGCTATTTTTATTGGTGGCACGCCTACTCACCAACAACCCTGCCCCCATTTAAAAAATCAAATTCAGTTGATCAAATAAAAATTAAAGACAAACAGAAAATTTGGGAATGATTAATTTATATAATATACCAAACGAAATTTGATCCATTTTGTTTTACGGCTTTCCTCCTAACATCAGGGCTACCAACCTGTTCTGAATTTGCGACTTCTTGTGCTTGAAACGAGTTGCAGATCCTCGTTGCTTTGATGCTTATGCTTGGTTGCAGAGCCATCCTTAGGATTGTTGCGGGAAAACTTTTGGGCTTTCTCACTGGTCTGGTGCTGTGAGGGAAGATTAGTGAAAAAGTCATTGACGATGATGAACCCTTTGATAAACCCCAGAGCCATGCCCCCCACCCCTGGAACTCAGCGCATCATTGTATTCATCGCAGGGTGCAGGTCAGATTAGCCTTTTGAACATAAGGAAAATCTGAGAGAATGACTGTAAAGTGTTTCAAGGTAGCATACACTTGCTAATTTTCCGATAATTAAACATTGCATATCGCAATGTTTCATATTCAATGGTGTGCTGTAATTAAATATTTATAATAATATTAATATTATTACTGATTACGACTACAAAAGGCAAAATACCATTCATTTACCATCTTCGTAAGGATCTTATTTCCCAGCAAGAGTTGTTCCGCATTTTGGTTTCAATTAAAATATTTATAAACTAAAGAACATACATATCATCAATACAAGTAAAAAAAAAGTACCTCTGGTTAATTATTATCGTGCCAACAAAATCTCGCTCGTCTTAAGGTTTTCTCAGCTGGGCACAACCGATAGCGAAATAACATCGTTTTGTCATTGAAAATATATATTGTTTTAAAATAAAACAAAGATTCCATATCGGGGCTTTATTCGTAATACAAATTCTTATTCGACGTATTACTTTGCCGACAATCACTTTGCCGACAATCATTTTGCCGACAGTCATTTACCGACAACACGTGGCGCGCCATTTTAGCATTTTATTAGTTGCTTGATTATGTGGAGATTAAATGTAAACCCCGAGTTGTCGGTAAAATGAACTGTCGGTAAAATGATTGTCGGTAAAAATGAATGCCTCCCCTTTAAAAATTCGAATTAAAAAATCTATTCGATCTATATATTAAAATTATTCATTATAACAAGATAATATAAACAATAATTATATTTATAATCTATATTACTACTATAATTGCTAGTATTATGACTTAAGGAAAATGTTAGCTACTACTAATTATTATTATCACTATATTCAAGGACTAAGGAAAAATAGATTGATAAAAAAATTTTAATTGGATTGAATTATTCGAACTATTATTATTAATTTTATTACCAAGATAATGATTTAATGCTAATTGGTTTGTTGAAGAATCATTCCTTACACGTTTAATTGATCTAACAGAAGTAGAAGTTCCTGAAAAAATATTATCAGTATTGCCTAAAACAATTGATAAAAATATAGATAGAAACATGTAAATAAATATATATGTACATATATAAAAAAGAAAACTCTCATGTATTAAATTGGTAAATATTTACTAGATCTTTTTGTGATTCTTTTTGTTTGATTATTTCAAGATGATTTTCTACAAATTCAATTTTATCAGAATAGCAAGCTTTAAAATTTTCACAATCTAACAAGTGTTTCCCGATGCTGTTCACAGTGTTTGAAATTTATATAAAACTTCACAATAATTTTATCAAATTCTTGGAATTCATCTTTCTTTATGCTTTTTGGTGATAAAGCGATCACTGTTTTTGCCTCAACATCCTCAGATTTATGACACCATCTGCTAGGTACCATGTTTCACTAGATCTGAAGCAATCTGAGAAGTCATGTGAACTTCCAACATCAATTCCACCTTTATCAAAGCAATAGAATTTCTGACTTTTCTTGTAATATTTTCACATTCATACAATAGTCGGATCAAGAAATAAACCAAAAAGCACGATTTACCTACACCTGATGTTCCAGTGACAATGAACTTATGACAGGAACCAGTTGATGAATTATTGATCAATAGATGATAAATGTCCTTGTATTCTTCTCTCACATATAATGCTGGCCTATTAATAACTGGGAACGATCTGTCATTAGGGCTCTTTATAATATTTTGTAAATTCATTTCTGAGATTTCCCCCAATTCTTCAGGTTTTTAAAAAAGGATACACAAAATGTAAAAGTTAAGAGCCAAATATGATAAACTTGATAAAATATTTGCAAATAATTGTTACCTTTATCTTGTGATAACTTCAATTGCTTCACTAAATCAATGATATTCTCGAATGATGGATCTGATAAGTGAAGAAAGATAATAAAAAAATTGTTAGCTCACAACACATTCTACACATCCTTGTTATTAAAGCTTACCTATCAATTTTTCTTTGTTGGGTTTAGTAGAAAGAGTTCGTTTTTCTGGTAGATTCCCTTTACCTTCAATCTAAATATGTATTAGAAAATTTGATTTAATTGATGAAGAGTGAACCTTTTAACTATATATATATGAATATAGTGTAAAAGATATTTGTAAAAAAGCAATCAATAATATGAATGTATTTAAAAACAAACCTGCCCTCTAAGTCGAATTATTTCTTTACTTAAATCATTAGATCATTTCTTCAATTAGTACGATTCAATTCGTAATTTATCTGATATGATTTTGAATTTTTAATATATCTCGTTCTCCATTTACTTCATTCAATACGGTTTTAATTTTATCATTGTCTACACTATTTTAAAAAAAATCAAAATTTATTACTAGAACTAGAGTGACGACGAGTGGTGATAACCACCACCATCCTTAAAACACTTATGCCTTTGCTTCTCCTTTATTGTCCTCTCTGTTTCTTTTATTTTTGTTTTGTTTATACATTTTGATTAAAAGAAAAAATAAAAATTAGTTAAAAAAACACACGTAAATAAAATAAATTATTATTATTGGCACTTGGTGTCGCACAAGGACTGTTTTTGGGACAGACGCGATATTTTTCTTTTTGGAAAAACAATCTTATTTTGACAAGATGACAAAACGTGGTTCTCCTAAAGAAGACGTGTTAATGACAGAGGTACACTTTTTTTTTAATTTGCATTGTCTTTTTTGGTTATTATAAATATTATAATTGAAATCAAAACGTGGAGCATATCATTGCTGGGTAATTATAAGATCCTTGTCAAGATGACAACGAATGAACGATTGGCATTTTGCTTTGCATAATCAATAATATTAATATTATTGATAATAAATAATTACAAGATGTCAAGGCAGCACAACTGAAACAATTCAATATGCAATGTTTGATTATCGAAAATTGGCAGATGTTGAAGCACACACACTGCCTTGAACACTTTACAGTCATTCTCACGTATTCCTTGTGTACACAAGGCTAATATGACTTGCGACCCCTCGATGTTACAATGATGCAACTGAATTCCAGAGGAAGGACGCAAAGCCCTGGAGTTTAGCAAGACTGCGCCAATTGTTAATGACACTTTCACTAATCTTCCCTCACAGCACAGCATAGTGTACATTTGATTTCATTGGCTAAATTATGTGACGATCTCCCTTCCAGATATCATGCAAAAAATAAAGTCACATGTTTCACAACATAAAAAAGATCAATGATCGATTTTGTCACATGTGATAAAACGAATGTCCACTATGCTCCACATAATAACATATTGGAAATGTTAGTACTAAGTAAAGTATGTCAAAATTGCGGATGCCGACGGATGCAGCTGGAATTAAGTTAAAAAAACATTAAAGAATATCTCTGTAAAGTTACAGTACGTGTTACATATCAACATATACCCATTTTAATTGAGCGCACAGTTTTCTTACTTTAAAAATTACGTTACACAGCATAAAACTTGGTGCAACATTCGAATGTCCACCATGCTATAGTTACTTACGTTCAAAAAATGAAGATCTTTTGACAAACCCTAATTTAACCTACGAAAATGTTGCTAGGTTTGCATGTGCTACAATGACAGATTGTACAAAAGTTCGTTTAAAATTATCATATTCACATTCAAAACATTTGCACAAAGTTTCAAATATAATGAGATTAGATAATGCACATGAAAATATTAATACTAATACTGCAAATCA